CACTTATATCCCCCCATCTCTTCCCTTCTGACCCGCCTGCCCTCCATCGCCCACACCCCCTTCTGCCCCCAGCTGACCTTCACTGTCTTCTTCCTCTTGCTGCTGGCCTGGGATCCAGGCACTGGGTGCTGGTGCGGCCCTGGGACACACACAGCAAGCATGGCAGGGCAGCAGAGCCTTGTCTGCCAAAGGCAGCTCATGGGGCCTGGCCAGGGAGGAGGCAGGATGGTGGTGTGCATGGTGGCAAAAGGGCAGAGATGTGGGGAGATAGGTGCATAGAGGGAGTTGAAGCACACACTGCAGTCGTAAATGCAAGCTGATTGCCAAGCACCCAAAGTTTGATTACATGACTGTAGGGGTGCTGCAATGGCCATAACTTTGAGGACCAGTTGTGACTACCATTCATAACTTTGTAACTTTGAATGGTTGCTGAACGAATGGTCATTAAGTGAGGACTATCTGTAGTAGGAGGTTGCTTCTTGACTTATGTGAAAACTTTTTCATATGTTACTGATTGATAGGCTTGCATCTGTTTAGTCAGCTATTGAAAGTTAGGTGTTTTCAAACTCTGTTCCACAGAATTCTCAAGTTGTGCAAGGACCTGGTGGGATTTCATGAAAGACTAGGAGCAAAAAGAAGAAAAAAGTTCACTTGAATATAGCCAGTTTTCTATCATTAGAACTTTGCTGCTTGATCAGGGGTTCCAAGAACAACAAAAATCTGCAGCCTGAAAAAGTTTTAAAGGCCCTGAGTAGCTCTTAGGCTTTAAACATCTTTGCTGTCAGGTTGGAAAAACCCTTCAATTACCTGTGGTATTATTTTAATTCTTATTCATAGTTACAATTTAAAAAGTGGTTAAACTATTTGGGACAATAGAAAGTTGTAAAATTTTCTACAATCTTAGTACTATCAGGCTGTTTTTTTTATTGTTCAAGGAATTCATTCCACTATAATTTGTATGTTGTCACAAATATTTATGTAATTTTATACTTGTGTTTTGGTCTTTTGGGGGGTGTTTATTGAATTCTAACCAGTGACCATTAAGATTGTAATATTAATATAAGAGTGTATAAGGGGGAGCAGACTTAGTTTATCTAACACCTTTTCATCTCCACTGGTGGGCAGTGCCTCTGTAGTGTTTCACATAAAATCTTTCATAGTCCTGAATAATATTTAAGGTGTGATTAATAGCCATTTTGTGTGTTTACAGAACCATTCACATGATCATGTATTAGATGTTGGTGATTCGAAAAAACAACAGGCCAACCAACATAACTATCGAACCAGATATGCCTTAGAGGAAACTGTCAGGCCAAATGAAGACATTGAAAATGGAAGCAGTTCCTCGGATGTAAGAATTATGTTATGTTTCATCTTAAATTACAGTAAACCCTTGATTCAGCAAACCTTGGATTAATGGACTGCAGATATAATACATCAACCCCAAATGCATCAGACAGGAAGCCCAATTGATAAATCTGGCAACCAAATAATAGATAATAAACACAGTTGCTCCCTGGTTTACAAATCCTACATTTGCTATTTAGGGAAGGCATGCAGTAGCTCTTTCTCCACTTGGTATAGTGATCTGCATGACTTAAACCTACTAGAGCAGCTGCCTGTGACATCCTGTACCCTGAATCCAAGAGCAGAAAACATTGGTGGATTTGGTGTGCTATAAATATGGACTGCAGGAACAGTGTGAGACAAATATTGCTTCAGAGGGATAGACAGGCTTGAAAAATAACATTCGGATTTAATAGATTTGGTTATAATGGAACTCCCCCCCCCCATTAATCCATTAAATCAAAGGCTTTATGTCTCTTGTGGCATATGTGTAACTCTCAAGCTTTCCCAAAGCTCGGTCTGTTCTTTTGTACATACAAAGTGCTATTTTGCCTGCAAAAACCTGATTATCTGCAGTTGATATATGCAGTTAGCAGTTAACATTTTGTAGTTAACTTGTGTAAGGAGAACTAATTATCTTGGATTTACACAGTGAAATAAGGTAATATATAAATATGAATTTTGAATGAAAAATGAAATTTCTGTACCATTTACATGATGTTATAAGTTGGATTCAGAACTGGACATGACTGTGCATTGAGGAGTTCTGATATGCTAGATCAGGGTTTCCCAAACTGTGAGGTGACCTCCCTTGGGGAGGTGCAGATGGAGTCCAGGGGAGGTGTGAATATTTTTATTTTTTATGTTTTTATTAAAAATAAACATTGTATTGTTTCCATTGTTCATTTGTGTTCATTTTGGTGTTTGGAATTTAGGGGAGGTGTATACATTAAGATTACTTTAAAGGGAGGTATGATGACAAAAATTTAGGAACCCCTGCCCTAGCTTGATTGCATGCAAAATCATTCATACTCCTGAGGTTACTTGATTTTCCTTTCTTAAAGGGAAGGAAAGGTAAAGAGGGATGATTTTCCTAGGTCTGTCCATAAACATGTAGTGCTCGACTTACAACCACAGTTGGGACTGGAACTTCCATCGCTAAGCATTGCAGTCATTAAGTGAGTTGTGCCCAATTTTATGATCTTTTTTTGCCATGGTCATTAAGTGACTCATGCAATTGTTAATGAAATCTGGCTTCCCCCATTGACTGCTTGTCACAAGCCCCCTGGGAAGGTTGCAAATGGCAATCACGTGATCCTGGGATGCTGCAGCTGTCATAAATACATGCTGGCTGCCAAGTACTGGAATTTTGATCACATGACCACGGAGGCGCTGCAGTGGTCATGAGTGCAAGGACCTGTCAGAAGTCAGTTTTTCAGCACCGTTGTAACTTCAAACGGCTGTTCAACGAATGGTCGTAAGTCGAGGACTACCTGTATTACATACATTAAATGGTACTTGAACTTTTTCAGAAAAAGCTTTTTAGCAAATGTTCAGAGAAATTTTGTTTACCTAGTACTGTGCAGAGGGAAATCTTGCTTCCTTTAGCAGGTATTTATTTATTAATCATGTAATTGGCCAGGTAGTTATGGTGATTTAAACTAAAAATATTGTAAGTCATAAAGCTAAAACAAATCCCAAACAGTGTAAAAGAGAATACAGCAGTCTCATACAGTATGAAAAGACCAGTGCTATATGGAACAATCTACTGCCGGTTGAAAACAGCAAAGAACTCAAAGAAGGAGTTCCACAGGGAATACTTCCCCTGAAATGGGCATTTTATGTATTTCATGTTGTAACAAAACCCTTGGCACTTACAGTATGTTACAGGCAAATTTATATCAAGAAGGTGGCCCTTCAGATACTCTGGTCCCAAACCACTTCAGGTTTTCTATATTAATTATGTTTGGAAACAAACTATAAGCTAATTATTTGTTGTGAGTCTGTGGCTAGTGATTAACGTAGCCACTTTCCAGTGTTTGCCTTGATCTTACTAAGTTTTCAAGAAAGGTGTTTTGTGGTTATTTTTTGTAATTTCTTCTGGTCTACTTTACTGTATTTTGTTGTTTGTATGTTGTTTTTTTAATTTTTAGTGAGCCACTCAGAGTGGCATCAAAATTGAATGAAATAAATAAAGTCACTGAATAACTGGACTCTTAATTAAAAGTACTTATTGCTTTATTAGAAGAATTAGAAGTACTTTATTATTTTTAAAGAAGCACGTTTTAGCATGTCAGAAGAAATGTCTGAGTATTATATTGCTCTTAGGAAGGAGAAATGGTTGTTGCCAGTGGAGGAACATCAGAAGATGAAAGAAAAGCATGGCATAGTGATGGTAGTTCTAGGTAAGTAACTGAATATTAAGGAACCATGCTGTTTAAACTTAAATGTTTGGTAAGATATGTGTTAATTGTTCTGATTCATGCAAATACTTTGAGTAAAAAAAAATAAAATGAGTTTAAAAAACCTTTATGGAAGAAAGAATCTGATAAAAAATGAAAGACTTCATGTGTAAAGTCTTTCAGTCACTTCTTTCCAGTGGGAGTTGCCTCATTTCTGTCCAACTTGACAGTAGGAGGGTTCTCTGGAATGACTTTTTGTGAGGAAGGAGAGGGCCACTCTTAAACTCCCTCCAGAATATCTCTAGGATTTAGTTTTGATATATCATGCATTTTCATTCATTGAAAAATAGTACAATCTAAAAACTTTCCAGAAAAATATAGAACAATATTGACTTTGGGTCTGATTTCTGTTGGAATGAATGAAGAAACCAGCATTTTTCAAAAGGTGTTAGAGTGATATATTTATAAAGCTTATAAACCAGAGGAGACGTTACACCACAAATTGTAAGGTATTAGTTTTGTATAGAGGAGAAACTGTAGCTGTACTGGACTATCATAAGAAATAGTAACATTGATTCCAAATATTTTTAATCTATATACTTTTCAAGCAGACATGAGTTGAATCCAAAGATGTCCTTCTAGATAAAATGTACATGAAAATATTGTTTTGCCTGATTATGTAAGGAAGTGTTTCTTCTATAACTTTGACTTTAGTGGAAATCCCAGAAACTACCTATTAATAGCAACATTTGGACTTTGCGCAAAGGTTCGTGGGATTTTGCTAGTTGCTCCTTTTCCTCAAAATCTTTTTTTTCAGTGGTTTAGTCAGACAGGGGGCTCGTACACATCTTTGAGGGAAAAAGGTCCCCTCTGCTATATTCCAAACTATTTTTCACATTCATTTTTGCTTAAAAAACAGCTTGACATGTAAATGTTTTCTTTTTGACAGTCCCAAGTTCAAAACTCCCTTCTTGGGAATGTAGAACTAATAAATAATTAGAGCATCTGATGAATTAAGAGCATCAAATTAAACTTTTATTATTAAGTAATTCTTGTTATGAATATTCTAGTTCTGTCCACCTGGTTTTATGTTTACGGTTATACCTTATGGTTCTGTATGACGTTTCAAGTAGCACATTTGTTCATGCTTTTCACCTAAAATGTTTATACTGAATGCATTCTAATTCCAGAATAGCTAAGACAGAAGTCACTTGTTTCATCTTGGTATAGCTAGCTAGTTTTTCAATATCATCTTGAAAGTAATACTTTTTGTGATGGATATTAAACTTGCATGTAAATGCATATGTATGTATTGATTAATTTATTTGACTCCTAGTGATTATTCCAGTGATTACTCAGACTGGACAGCAGATGCTGGAATTAATTTACAACCACCAAAGAAAGTTCCTAAAATTAAGACCAAGAAAGTAGAGAGCAGTTCAGAAGATGAAGAGGGTCCTGAAAAACAGAGACAAAAACAAATCAGAAAAGAAAGGAAGAAAGGTATTGAAGATAAAGATGGTCCACCATCTCCAAAGAAAAGGAAACCAAAAGAAAGGAAACAAAAGGTTGTACCATAATTATCAAACATTGTCTAACTTAAAATGCTTCTTATCAGTAATGCTTATTTCTCACTAATGTTAATATACATGAATTATACTTTTAATGTATAGGGTTATATAGAATCTATCAGAAGCTATAAACAATCCACCTTCCCTTAAAATCTCAGGGCAGAGAGATACAGATGTTTTATTATGCCCCCACGTACAGGGTTTTACATGACTTACACACATACACACCTTTCTTGGAGTTTTACACAGTATATATCCTGTGTGGTATTTTCAGTTACACTGACCACCAGGAGGCAGGCGCCATGTGATCAGTTAAGTGGTTAAGCCAAGAAAATCATCACAGAAATAACAGTTCCCTGACAAACCTTGCTAAGATGAGGTTGGGGATGTACTCATATTATTTCATATTGCATGGCTTTCTATGTAACGAGATGAGAAAGTATCTGTCTTTTTCCCAGTTTTACTTTAAACAATTTTTTTTTAAAATCCCTTTGGCCTTGAATTGCCTAAAACAAATTAAAACTCCTGAATGTTAAAATATCCATCCAGCCCAGCCATTCCTACCTAGCAACAAGCTCTTGGAAGTCTATACAAATTTCAGCAGTTTAGAGCTCAAAATAGTGGTTGGATCCAGCAGTTTTATTCCATTATCTTGAAACACATAAATATTAGCACTGTGTTTTAATTAATTTACTATATTTTGATTTGTCTAATAACTGGAGTTCTCTGAGCAGATTAGAACATTATTTAAAACTTTATAAATATTTTAAAAATAAAAACAGTAAAAACAATGCATTAGTAATACCACAGCTAGTAAATTATTCTGTATTTTATTTTTAATCAGTCTAGTAAAGTCCATCTGCATGAAGGATAACGTTCTAAATTTAATCACTGGAAGACTTACATGTGTTTCTGGAATCACTATAACTTATGTGAAAAAGGGGGGTTATTTCTACAAATTTTCTTTTTCATCTTCCATAGTCTTCAGGGTGTCCCAGTTCCCAAGTGCAAATGTCTGGGAATGCTGGGGACTAAGATGGGAAATACAGTTCTTTCAATATGAACTCTGTCCTCTTTCTAGAAAAAAAAAATTATATAGTAGTTGTCCAGTTGTTAGTCAATTAATGTGAGGGATGCTGACATTTTTATCAAATACTTACACTAAGTTCACATTTGATGGGTATATTTATTTTGCTAATAGAAAATTGATTGTGGTGATTGAATATGCATGAGCCTTGTGCATACCCTCTTTCCTACTCTAATGTGGCTGCAAGAAAATTATTAGAAACCTTTGTTTTCATTTTTAACATGATGCAGCTGATATTTGTGCTGGAAAAGGAAAGAGGAGTACACAGACCTGAGGTTTGTTCCTGTATTGCTAAAATTGGTAATTCAGATGCTTTTGAGAACAGCTAAGTTTAAGCAAAAGCTTAAAATAAAATAACAAATGCTAGAGTTTAATTTAGATAGATGTGTGTGTTTCTTTAGAGGTTGGCTGTGGGTGTGCTAGCGGAAAATGGCTTGACATTAGAGGAGTGGCTGCCTTCAGTGTGGATTACAGATCCTGTTCCTCGACGATGTCCGTTTGTACCACAAATGGGAGATGAGGTACTTACTTTTTCTTTCATTTTTATGCATCACCTTGGGCTGCACTTTCATGGTCAGTTTATTAAATTTCCACATTAAGAATCTCTCTTTCTCTCCCTCTGTCAATCACTTTGGAGTACTGTAATTTAGAAAACAAACCCTTATACCTTCATTTTAAACCCTTATACCTTCATCTTAAATTAGGCTTTTCTATTTCCTTTTTCCTTTTGTCAAATATCTTACCTATTTGCCTTCTGTCATCACTAATTTTCCTTCTGTAATTTTCCTTAAAAGCAAGCAAAGATTTTCCCTCTTTTATTTCATTCTACACTTTTTCTTTTTTTTTTTGGCCTCTTTTCTCTGTTGGATGGCCCCAAGGAGTGTCCCTCCAGCAAACATCTGGACAGAAAAAGTAAACTAAGAATTATAGAATTATAATTGGGCTGGTGTCATGGACTAGGAGCAGGGAAACATAGGTTCAAGTCCACCCTCAGTTGGGTGACTTGGGCCAGTCTTAGTCTCTAAGCCTGACCTACTTCACAACATTGCTGTTGTGGGGAAGAATGAAGAGAAATCCCAGAGTAAGCTGCTCTAGTGAAAAGTGGTCTATAAATTAAAGAAAGAATTATAAATAAGAAGAATTGCCAGGAAGGAAACTGCAGCCTTTTGTGTTGTTCCAAGGAAACTCTCCTATGCATTTTCTCTTTGTTGAATGTAAGAAATAGTAGGGAGCCATAGGCAATCATACCTAAACCTGCTAATCTCAGCAAGGTTGTGACCTGGGATGCTCAATTCACATATCCTAGGCACCTTCCATATTGGATAGGCAAGACTCAGCACCTTCTAAAGATGATTGCCTGTTTGAGAACTTTTCATAACATTAATGATGTTAAGAAGTAATAATGTTCCAAGCATGAAACTCAAATTTAATTAATTATACCAGCCCCTGAATAGCACAGAGGGGCCTTATAGGCCCCATTTGAGTTTTCTTCAGCTTTTCAGGACATTTGTAATAAAAAATTCCTAATGCATCACTGGATTGTCAAGCCTCTCTAGTTTTCACTAAGTGTTTCAAAGAAGCTATTCCCATTTCTGAATGTTCTTTGTTTTTCATTTAGACGGATTTGGAAAAAGGCTAAAAGAAATGATAATTATGTGATGCCTTCTAAAGGTTTCCAAAGCAGGGCATATATGTTTCTTTATCTTCCTTCCTATTTGTTATATTTTCTTCCTAGAAGGGACTTAATTCCAAACTTCTGCTGGAATCAAGAAATCTAACTGGCTGGATTGTCACTGTCTGTAAGGAACAACAGCAATATAAATAAACCCCAAATACAGTGTTCCCAGGGCTGGTTCATAAAATGACATCAATGTTTTTATCTTTACTGTCCAGATTTGCCTAAATATTTATTTAAAATAAAAAATTGCTAAAAATTCTATATCTTATATTAATAAAAGAATGATGAAAGTTCTTGTAACCATTCCAGTAACCACCTTGTTAGGAGAATGATAATTGAACCGAAAGTTTGAGATACTTTTGAGATTTAAGTAAGAAATACATGAATTCACCTTGAAATAAGATACATAGAGCCCTCCAAGTGTCTTCTGAATTATTATTTTTTGCTAGAGATATATTCCCCAAGGTGCATTTCCAAATCTAACCTAGACGGTATCTTTTGCAAGTGATGCTATTCTAGATTCAATGTAATTTTCTATCAGTGCTGTAGAAGTGAATGGGATATCAAGATGTGCTCTCTGGGTTAAAGTTCTGGAGTGTGGATATTGCCAGTCTATAACCAACTTTTCTTTTTTCTTCAAATAGACACTTTTGAAACAGGGATTTCAGAAGTGCCAAAGAATTATGGAACAAATCCAGATATTTGAAAGAAACAATAACTTCATAGTCATTAAGGCTAATGCCCAAGAAATCCAAAAAAAGATAGGCAGCAATATAAATTCCTTCAGAATTTAGTGGTATAAGCTTCCTAAACTTACTTCCTTTTTGGAAGCTTTGCTATCAGCTTAATGAGCTCTCAATTGATATCTGTCTATCTGTGAAACAAAGTTTGCTCATATATCTTTCTATATCTAGAGAAGCAAAATAAAGTAACTCATATTATCCACTCTTAATCACTTAATAGGGATACAGCAATGAGGGAATTGGAGTGGAGCTTTATTTAGTTCTCAAGAAATCTGTACAGTATTGCTAGTACTATGTGAATTTCCTGATCACCATCCAAGAAGCCTGTTGCCAGTGGGATTTTATGGCTTCAGTACACTTCTAGATAAATCTGCAAACTCCTGCATTTTCTGTGTGTGGTGCTACTGTTCAGACTTGCTTCAGCTTCACACATCTTCAGGACATTGGTAGCCATTCCAGTAGCTTTGCTCCAGCTATAAAATATTCACTTACTCCCTTACCTTGCCAACTTCCTTCTGTAGCCACTCTTTTTCTTAAAAGCAAACCAGGAACTCTAGGTTACATTGGCATACCTGTAAAATAAAATATTTTAACGTATTGGTGGCACTCACAAAGTACTATTACATTTCAGCAGTCTCTCTCCCTTGCGTTCTCACCTCCAGAAAGGGCTAGAAAACTGCAGCTAACCAGGTTTTCCAGCTCTTAGCCAATATAATGGACCTGGCCTGTATCTTGGGTATGAGTTATTTTGTGCATTGAAATTCTGTCCTGATACAATCTTTACTCATTATCTCTGAAGTGGCTGATTTTTTAAAAAGTGAGTGCAACTACCTCAGGAGCAGGTTAAAATCCACAGACCACTATAGATACTTCCAACTGATCTGAATTAACTCCAGCTTTATCCAGTTAAATTTTCTTTCCAGGCACTGATCTAACACAACTGCTTCATCACTTAGCACCAAAAGAGAAGAAAAAGCAGCTCACTGATACCATGAATATTTTTACATAAACACCAATCCAAACATGAGAAGAGCCACTGCAAAATAATTCCACTCATGTCAAACTTGGACAGCCAATTCAGAAAGATAACTCTGATCAAGGGAATTGAACTCAGTTGTGTAAGACACACCTCTTGTCTCTCTCCTAACAGAGATGGTCTCACAGGGCAGTTAAGACTGACTTGGGTGACAAACTGCAGTGTGTCAATTGCAGTATCCTCAAATGCACAATAGCTGAGGTATACCAATAGTTGTTGGCAGACACTTTCAGGAAATGTTGCTTAATGAAGAGACTACTGGTGGCTGTTAGGATTTGCTACTACCCACTCTCCCTTCCTAGTGCATCTGCACTTCCAGGTTTTTACACAGGTGTGTTAGAACCCATATCTGATGCCTCTCACATTAAACAGAAAAAGAGTTCATTTTACTCTCTGAAATAAACAGCCCTTTAGGACAGGTGACCACTCACAAACTGTTAGCCCCAAAAGCTGATACTTCACACATTCATCTCAGAGTTTTTGTTGAGTCACCTGAGTTATTTTATGCTATGAACTGGCCCTCAAAACAACTGAGAAGGAGCCAAAAGGAGAGGGAGTAATTCTTTAAAAAATTAAGCTTTTTAAAAAGTAGGCTACGAGTTGCACTTCCCAAGTACTAATAGTATGAATATCTTTGCATATCATGTATGAAGGAACTTTCACAGAGAATACCAATGTTCAGCACTCTCTGCAAATTATCTTACAGTGGTCCATATACTGTGAGTCACTTCATTCATGTTGCTGAAGTCTTTCCAATATGTGTAACTGACCAAGTAAATAAATAAGTATTCTAATATATGAGCTAAAGTTAATTAAGCTGTTTAGATTAACATTGACAACACTGATAAATTGTGTCTAGGAAATTGAAACGTAGTTTTATCCATAAGGTATGTTTGTTCTGATTCTAGCTCTATTGGATAGAATGTTTTTAGAGGGCTTTCCTGTATCGTACAGAGATGTAAACTTGAATAGCATTGTTAATATTTTACATACAATCAGAGATCAGTTGCACAATTTGGAAACGTTTTTATTGGATATATTTGTAGATCCCACACAAATATCCCAGTTATGTGGGTGATAACTTGGTCATTGGAGCTAAAGAAGACGACACACTATTGCTTCATCGTTGTAGGTAGCTTCTAAGCATTGTAAAATATGACAGAAATAACCCTTCTGATCAGTCAGTGGTCACATTTTAGGATAATTTTACTTCAGATGTTCTGTGTGCTAATAAACATGATGCAATATAAAAATATAAATTACAAAATGCTCGGACAATTGAATCTTGGTTTATTTCCAGTTACTACTTTATGTCAGTAATGAAAATGTGCCATAAATAATGTGCTGCTCTAAACAAAATACAACTCCAAATGCATATTTATCATTGTTATATATAAAATGTATGGATTCTTGTTCAGAAAAGGTACTTTCATAAGATGCTACTGAGGATTCTAACATTTTGAAAAGTTAATTGGCAACAAGTTATTTTTAATTATTTAATTATTATTTTTAATTGAAACATTGAAAAGATTGAAAGTGGATCAATTGAAATTGAAAGACTGAAAAATAACTCTGGTTTTGAAATAATACTTTCAGTTAGAGAATGTTAATTTTTTTTTAGATTTACAGATATTTCATGCATTAACTCTGGTGTTTAATTTCTTAAGGTTTACTATTTCCGGCAAGGTCATGAAGCATATGTTCTAATGGCAAAGAAAAACAAAATATATAGCATTAATCCTAAAAAACAGCCATGGCATAAGATGGAGCTACGGGTATGTCTCCTCCTCACTCTTTCTTTTTACATTCTTTGTCTATATGTAAAGTTGAGATCTGGTACATTCTTACTTTGGAATAAATCCTACTGAACTAAGATTTAACTTAGGTGGTACCATGCATAGTTTCAGCCTTTAAATCTAGCTATATGTGTACTTGTAAATACAGTACACTGTGTTTAATGGTAATTACCTGATCATATTTGAAAGGTCAAAACAGTAAGATAATAGACCTATTACACTGAGCTACAAGTGGTCCTCATTTAATGACCACTCGTTCAGTGGCCGTTCAAACTTATGAAGTGCTGAAGAGTGGCAGTTACAACTGGACCTTGTACCTACCGTCCTGCGGTCACGTGATTATGATTTGCAACCTTTCCTGCCGGCTTCCCACAAGCAAAGACAATGGGGAAGCCAGCAGGAAATCAAAAGTCACAGGTGAGGTTCTTGCTTAACAATCTGTGTAGACTTCATTTAATGATGGCAATGGGAACTGTCATTCCTAAGCGGCACAGTCACATAGTTTTTCGAATTATGACCGTGTCACTTAACAATGGAGTTTCTGATCCCAGTTAGTGTCATTAAATGAGGACTACCTGCATTTCTTTCTGCACCGGGAATTCAGAATAAACCTCTTGTTCCTCAACTGAGAACCACAAGAATGAGCATAATAGTAGTCCATGCTGACTGCTAGCAGCCTGCCAAATTGCAGAAATAAAGGATACAGATTATTTTAGAAACATTTTTGAAAACTGTTACTTTAGTAACTGTATGGAGGAAATTTGTTTGCTGTACTGAAACTCAGGTATCCTTCCTTTGTCTTGTGCAAGTAGTAATTAAAAAAATATGTGAGAAAAGATTAGTGTTCTATTTGATTATACCCTCCAGGGCTGCCAGGTAGACAGATAGACAAAAAGAATTCCAGTCACACTGCTGGCATAATTTGGCATGCTTTGCTGTAGATTACCTAAGCATTGCAAACACCCAGTGACATCAGTAGCAGATGTGTTTACAGTTGGGGGATTTTGTGGGGGGCAACATATTACTGACTGGCTGCTAAAACACCCAGAGGTTACAATTTCTGCTTGGTGGATGAGAATATTAGCCAGAGGGGGAAAAAAAGGAATAAGTGCTATTGTCCAGGAGAGAACCCTTTCCTGCCTACCTGCAGTTATGTACTAAAACTTTAACATCACAGAAAAAAAGAGCCCATTCTGAGTCATGAACTGACTGTTGCTCAGTGAAGGAAGTCCTCTTTTTACAGCTGAAATGTGAAAAGATGAACAACTTCAGAAAAAGGACACGTAACAAGTCCAAACATGACATTGTAGCAAAGTGCAGCATGGACTACATCAAAGTGTACAAGCATAAGCAGTGTACATACTATATGAAAGCTTTGTCTAGCATAGCTTCCATTCTGGTTCTACAGCAACATGTGGCCTCACACTTGTCATGTAAATAAGTAGCTGCTTGAACAAGAGATAGGTAGAGTTCCACAGGGTCTTGAAGTTGGGGGAGCCTGGCCTGGCATTGATCTAGCATCTGCCTCCTCTTTATACATGTGGAGGACTAGACCTAGTACTAAAATCAAGCCTCTCCCTTAACCAATAGATCATAATTTGGTTCTCTTACTAGCCCTATGTCTCTGACTTGTCTATTTTCAGGCATGGCTTGTTTGAGTGTTTTTTTTTTAAATAGAATATTAGGTTGGAGCTAATTTAAGACTAGCTAGTCTTAAACTGAGAATGGGTGGGTTGAGGTGGGCAAGCTGCTATTTAAAATGTATCTGTATGTGTATGTGATTGTGTTTTGTGATTGTATGTGATTGTGCATGTGTATGTAGCATAAGACAGTACTATCAGTACCAGTTATATATGCGACACTTAAGTAGAAGAATTAATTCTGCTAAATAACTAGGCAGCCCTTATTTAGAGAGGGGAAGTTTTCTGGCAGAAGGGAAATGTTGTTTGAAATTTAAAAGGGGGCCAAGCAAAGGGATGGGATGGAGCAATGACTCTTTTGTTTTAGTCATACACTGCACTACATTGCTTTAAAAGTGGATAAAAAGAGAGACCATACTTGAAATAAAATGGGGTTGCAGGTATAGTGGTTGCCTCAGGTAGGGAACATATTTTCAGCAATACCAGTAGCAGAAGCACCAGCTTTGAGTCCAGTCAAGTACGGGGTCCCTTGTGGAATTCTTAGTTTTCTTTTGCCCACAGCTTTCAGGTCTGGAATGGCTCCCTCAATACCCCATACACAAAAAGGCTTGCTGCTTCATTCTAAAACTCACCCCATTCAGCCAAAGTCAAGGGACGTGCTGTCCCAGCCTACGTAGAAAAATGCAGAAGATTACTCTCCAGTTTTTAGGCTGAATACAGCACCACAGTTACACTCCCTGGAATTCCATTGAATGTTTGTAATGAGTATATTTGGTCTTTTTTTTTTTAAAGTGTTTTATCCTAAGCCTGAAAAATTTTGCACATTCTTATAAGGAAGATATTCATAGAATACCCTGCTACAATTTATATTTACTATGTTTGAGTTCTGTTTTCAGTCTGATTAGGCTCTGAGAGAAGTACAGTACTGATATTGTACAAAATGATCGGCAGCCACCATGGTAAGAGCTGATAAAACATAGTGCTCATCAACCACTCTTACTCTATTAATTGTTTGGTTTTTCATTTTAATTCAGAGATGTAAGTTATCGGAACCTCTCTTCTCTCCCCCCCTCCTTTTTTTCACCTGAAAAGCAAGGTAAATTACTGTCAATATTTTTTATTTTTGTCTTAGGAACAAGAGTTGATGAAAATAGTTGGAATAAAATACGAAGTTGGGCTGCCTACACTTTGCTGCCTTAAACTTGCTTTTCTTGACCCTGATACGGGTAAATTGACTGGAGGATCATTTACAATGAAGTAAGGAAAACCCATGATCGTATATACCATTTTATTTAAGTTTCTCTCTCTCTCCCTCTCCCTCTCTCTCCCTCTCTCTCCCTCTCCCTCCCTCTCCCTCTCTCCACACACACACACACACACACACACACATACATACCTTTGTAACACATTTTATGTACATTTAAACTAAAATATATTTCTAAAATTAATCTATTAGCTTAGTACATTTTGCATGTAGGTTTGGACATTTGAGAATATCTAGTCATACAGTGAGAGTTTCCATTGCTCTGCTTGTCCCTTCCCCATGCCCTAATCCATTTCAACCCTCCATGATAGACTAGGAAGAGAATCTGATCTGGCAGTGATAGCTAAATGGGATAAATGTAACTGGGTTTATTTTATTATCCACTAAAGTTGACAACATGATATCCAGAATACTCCTAAATGATTCCAGATACCCCCAAATTTAATAAAAATTATTTTTATTTTTATTTAAAATGCTGAAATCTTATATAAGCTCAGGGTGAGATTACTGAAATCTTTTGGAATTCTGGAGGATCATTTTGGGGAGAAGCAGCTGGCACCTAAAAATGTTGCCAAGTCCTTCACTTTAGGGGAGACACAACTGGATACTGTCAATTACTAGTTGATGATAAAAGTGTAATTGGCTACATTGTTTATTAAAGCAAATAGCTGAAATGTGCTTTAGGAAACTTCATTTGATTGTAATCTATTATGCCTGTCTGCCAAGATAGAGGGAGCTCTCAGCAGAATGGATTTCTGCTCTTCCTCCAGCCCTCAATACTCCTGCTTTGGGGGATGAAAAATCTTTGAAAAGAATGGAAAACAGAAATTTCCACTGTTGCATGACTAGAAGTCCACTTATACAACATTAGATTTTACCTACAGTACTTTTACCTTATTGTGCAGAATATTTCTGCTGAAAATGTATAACTTTGAGGATAGAATTAGAATAATAGCTGGCTTGAGAACTCAAGTTTGTGAATGGTCAATGAAAGAATAATAGGCAGAAAAAGCCAATTATTTCTACCTTCAGTTGATATCTATAGACAGGGAATTCTTGCTGAAGAAAAAAATGGCTGCTAGCCAAATTCTGGATGAGAAGTGACAGATGGTAAAAGGTTAGCTATAGTTTCTTCCTTTCATCCCTCCACCCCCCATAAAACAACAAATGTAGCTGCTTTTTCAGTACTGAACTTTGCTACCAAACATATGCTTAAGTTTAAAAAATTGAATTAAATTGAAATTGTTCCACTGTTTCTTCTTAAGTCTCACTTAGAATGGATGTGTTCTCCAAAATATTTAGTTATAAGATAAGTAAAGCGTTTCTCATACTATTTCATTTTAATTATATCTAGATACCATGATATGCCAGATGTTATAGATTTCCTAGTCTTAAGACAGCAGTTTGATGATGCAAAGCACAGAAGATGGAATATAGGTAGGTGCCTTAGAATAGAATTGATATCTCACTGATTTCATGGTCAAAATTCCCTCTGATTTTAATAGAGTATGTGATGACTACTTTTTGCAAATATATATGTTTGGATCCTCACGGTCTTCCATCTATTGAAGTTTAGACAACAAGATTAAAAATGCTTGCTATTTTGAGAAATGCTTGCCATATGAATTTGCATTAAATTCCCAAAGTAAATATATTCTTGTTTCCATTTGTGGTTCTTGGATTATCATAAATAGTAGGCTGTTGACATACACATTTAGATTAAGTAGTATATATTTTTAATATTTTCAAACATAAAATCTATGGCACTCAGATATCACAATCATTGGAGACCCCAGTTGGCTTTCTTCTTTCTTCTTACTCCTTTAAATTAGCTTTTTAAAAATCAATTAATTCCATAAAGGTTTTGACCTTTAAAGCTCTACATGGCATGGGACCAGGCTATTTGAGGGACCGCCTCTTCCCAATTACATCTACATGTCCCATCAGGTCAAGCAGGAGGGATATGCTGCGGGTCCTGTCTACTAAGAAGTTCCATCTGGCAGGACCCAGATGGCGTGCCTTTTCTGCCATGGCCCCCACCCTTTGGAACATCATTCCTCCTGAGGTGAGGTTGGCCCCATCCCTGCTTGCCTTTGGGAAAGCCCTTAAGATGTGGTTTTTTCATCAACCTTGGAGATCCAGTGGTGAGCCTGCAAGGTGGCTGAATGATGTCAAGTGACTGTTCTCCCGCAATCTTGAGTTTTTTTGTTTTCTTTGTATTCATGCTTGAGTGTTTTATGGTTTTTTAATTGTCATTGTTCGTATGCTGCCCAGAGTCACATTTCATGAGATGGGCAGCTATATAAATTTGCTAAATAAATAAATAAATAAAATACTTTAAAATTATGAGTATGTTTAAAATGCCAGTTAGCTATGTAGGAAAGCCAATAATAAACTTTTTCCTAAACAGTTTTTGATGTGATGTAAATGATATTTTAGAGGAAAACGTCCACTGACTTTTGAGCGTGCCTGAAATAAATCTTTAGTTTTTAGCTAGTGATCTTTCCATTCAGATGCCGCAGGAATAGGGTATGTACTCCCCATGCCCTAGTTAGTATGGCCAGTGATAAGGGATGCTGGAGCTCTAATTTATTTATTTTTTATTTTTTATTTATTTTATTGGATTTCTCCGCCGCCCATCTCACCCACAATAGGGGACTCTGGGCGACTTACAAAAAACATTAAAACTATAAATACATCTAAAACACAGAAAACATCCAACATTTAAACAATACTAAAGAAAGGAAGATCCAAACAGATGGCAAATCAAGCTGCGGAGAGCTGGCCACTACGGGGCTAGCCATCCCCCTGCTTGAAGTATTCCCTCCCCACCCCA